CCCAGACTTTGAGGTGTGACCTCGTTTCTGCCAACCGCCATCAAAGGAGACATGAATGTCCTTCACATCACTAGTCTGTTCTTGATATGCCTCCTTCACTTTCTGCACAGATTTCTTCAAAATATCCCTTGAGAATATACTGCACTTGTCGCTTATAGCTGTTGTGTGCACTGCAAAGGTCTTATGGTGCAAAGAAGGCACATTCATAATTTCACTGAAGTTACTCAAGCCAGCATGGCCCATTCCAGTGGCGCATGCAGCAGCAACAGCTCTCCGGTTTACATCAAAGACGGAACCACTTTTCGACGAGGTCATGGTAGAAGACAGCTGGTCACCACAACTCTCACACTTGACGACTAAAGAAATTGCCAAACCACTGTTCCTGTGTTCATTGCTCTCTAGCGAAAGTGACGGTGAGCAGCACGTTGGACACAGAAGACCAGAGAAAAGAGGTTTCAATGTCTCCAGTTCAACAATCGTAGATGGCAGCAAGGTGCTCACTTCTCGATCGGGAGATCCAGAATTGTTGTAGCCCAATTTCCTCTTGGACGCAGAGCACACAACATCATGGTCGATCCCTTGCGTTGACGGTGTGGGTGTTGAAGTTTGCGTGACAGGGTCGATGATTACTGGCTGTGGGGAGTCAGGATTTGGCACAGACGGACCGGGTAACGGTGACGATGGTGATGCCTCAGATTGGGGTGACACACGAGGTTTGCATGACGCGCGACTTTGTCGTGCAGCACGAAGCTGCTGTCGCCTGCTCCGGTACTTCTTCCCGAAGGTGGTGGTTTTATGGGTGTCCTGCTTCAGATTCATATTTCAATCTGTGAAAGTACACAGAAACAGCAAGACATTAATTGAAACTGTACAAGAAAGTTATTTATCATTTTCAAAATAATGCAGCCTTACTCTTTCAAAATCGATAACGTTTTTAAATAAGAACCAAGAGCAAGAGTCTAGACTGAGAATGAGAACATTTTCATGGTGCATATATATATATATATATAATCTAATAATCAACCATCACGCACGCATGCAGCCAAGTTCTGCAGGGGTTTTCAGTGAATTCGAACGCCTCAGCAAAAAAAAAAAAAATTTTTTTAAAAGGAAAGGCAGAAAAACAATCCAGATCGTACTTACCTCTCTCTGCCTTACGACAAATAGTGCTACTGTTAAGTATCTATACTATCTATATAAGGAGTAACGGCAATGTGCTCGCAACCTCTAGATCTAAGATTCTAGATCTAGATCTCTGTCTCGATAATCGATGTGTAATATCCTCCTTCCTTCCAAACCCTCATGTTAGATCTATCAACACAATACCAACGTAATCAATCACATTGGCATTCTCAAACTAACTGCTTATCGTTCTGAAGTCTTCACAAACACAGCAATCGTTTAGATCTACCATCCGAGGAAGCTCCAAATGAATAGATCTTTGCTACACACTACACTTCTGTATTACAAACCGTAAGATTGAACGAGGACGATAGACAGAAGGAGGAGAATCAGGGTGGACTGACCTACTTCGGGTTTGGCGAGCTTATGTCGTCCAGAAACAATTATTTGAAGCAAATATAAGTGAAAAACACAGCCCTTATGATTGTAATTCTATTCACTCACCTGTGCTGACGAATTGATGTATTGAAAATTCAGTGCGATGAGAGAAATGCGTCAAAAGCGTTCACTGTCTGTCTGTAGGCACGCAGCGTAAACAATAACAACAATGGCGGCAGTAGGGGAAGCCCCTTCCGTTGCTACCGGCTGAGCCAATGAGCGTTCGTGAAGTCGTCACATGCTAGGATAATCCAATCACGTTTTGCTACGAGGTCTTCACATAAGCATAAACGGCGGTCTGTGATATTTCTGTACGATACCGAAACTACGGTAATTGAACGGCCGAAATCGCGACCTTTACAACGATACCAAATGTTCCTACGTTGCAGTTGTGTAAAGCAGCATGAGAAAGAGTCAAAGTTTGGTATTTTCTGACTTTTTATTCAAAATTTCCTTCACCCCAACCTCTCTCAAAGGCATTTTTGGGTGATTTTGAGGTGTTTTTATGCAGTGAAGCCTCCAAAATTGGATTCCTGACATATTTTTCTACAAGAATAGTCCAAAACCTGGAAGTCGATATTTTTAACTCCAACTTTGAAAAATCGTGGCTGGTCGATACCGCGGATCCCCTTAAACCAAAGAGTCTGCATAACAAGAGGGGCCACTTCTCTCTTTGAGCCAATTAAAAAAGTGTCCTCAAAATTCGGTGGCGCCCTCTTCGCAAAAGCGCACCTTTAGCGAACAGAGTTATCCTACTTGAGTTAAAAAATCAAAGTGAAACTAGCAAGTTTTTGAATGAATTTCGGAAGAACGCTTTTTAAAAATGGTTACGCTGACAAAAAACCTCTTCCGGAGAAAAGGGTGATTGTTTTCTTCGTTTTATTTTACTTTAGAATGAAAGGCGAGAGGTCATTAAAATTAAAAAAAACTAAAACTCCGTACTGAACGAACCCGAACTGCTGATGAACAGCAGTCGATTTGCGCACGCAAGGAGGTGCTATTCCTTTTCTTCTTTTGGAAAAACGAAAGAGAGCTTCAAAACAGACTGCAGCGCCATCTGAAGCAAAGAGCATACCTCCTGCGGACACTTTTTTGGCTGAGTGGCCCATCCTGTTATTTACTATCTTTGCTTAAACGAAGAAAACATCACCCTTTCCTCCGGAAGAGGTTTTTTGTCAGCGTAACCATTTTAAAAAAACGTTCTTCCGAAATTCATTCAAAAACTTGCTAGTTTCACTTTGTTTTTTTAACTCAAGTAGGATAACTCTGTTCGCTAAAGGTGCGCTTTTGCGAAGAGGGCGCCACCGAATTTTGAGGACACTTTTTTAATTGGCTCAAAGAGAGAAGTGGCCCCTCTTGTTATGTAGACTCTTTGTTCATGTACAGTAAATGACTCCTCTATCTTTCTTGCAGGGGGCAGAGTTCAAAGGTCAGCGGAAGACGGACGTCCGAGAGAAACAGAGATTGATCCAACTGGTCCAACTCCAGGCCCAGGAGATTGATGCCCTCAAGGAGGAGATAATGCTTCTGTCACGCAAGGGAGGTCACATCCTGCCACCTGCACAGCCGCCCCTTCCACAGAGCCCGTCCAACTTCCCCCAGGGGCATTGAATCCAACGCTGATTTGTTGTAACATTATTGTGAACACCTTTGGTGAACCAGCATTCATTTGGGGTTTTTTTTATTTTTCTGTTTTGTCTTAAGCATAATTTTTTTTTTATGTGTGTTTTTTTGTCATTTCATAACAGTAGGCTACTGAAACAAAAACGAGCATGAAACTTTGGCGCTGACAAGAGATAGATCATTCATATGATTTCTGAAATAAAATATTTTTGTCTTGATTTTCATTCCTCATTTATCAGACCACCATTAGAGCATCAAGAAGAGAATATTTCCGTTTGATTCTTTTTATTCACAATTTTTGTGCCGATCAATGTCATTTGAAAATATATGGAAAATGGTTTATGCCTTTCAAAATGGCAATGCACTCTTCACTTTTCTTTATTTTTCTATAGTATTTCTGGGGATGTATGCTCAAAGAAAAGATTTTGTGCTTTATATTCTGCAGATTGTGGTATTTTAATCATGATAAGAAGTCTCATGATAAAACAAAATAGGCTATTTAAACTGTCGTTTAATTGGTATTGGTACACTGTTGTTGTGATGCCTCCGAAAACAAACATTTTTTTTTTAACAGTGAAGACTTCCTACTTAATCATCTGCCCGGCATAAGAACAAGCCGAGTAGGTGGTGAGCCAGTAGAGCTACCCAGACAAGTAGGGCCAGTGGCACTGAGATCCAGCATGATGCCAAAGGAATTATCAGGGCACGCACTTTGTTTCCTGTTAAAAATACAGGTTACTAGCATGTACTACAATACGGAGGTTAACTGTAAAGCTCAGTATAGAATGGAACTATAAGTAAAGAGATAATAGTAAGGTAGGCCTACATTGATACTTGTCTTCTGGGCCTTGTCTGGTTCCTACAAAAAGACTCTTTTGTCTTGCATTGCAGGCATGAGGGGGAAACTCTTTTAGGAGTATATTATATATATAGCAGGTAATGGTAAAAGTTAAATTCCTCCATATATGGAAGTTACTTGACCTAGTATACACATCTGGGGTCTGCTCTCTCTGTGGGGGTCATTTAAATCGCAGCGATGTTATGGGTGACTGAAAGAAGCTTTTGAATGGGGAGTTGTAAATCAGTTTACCGCAGGAAGTTTCAAAGAAAATGAAACAATCTTAATGGCTGACTGGATAGTGGCAAACCCTCTCCCCTGAAAAAATATAATTTAGTGACCTATCATGTCTTAGTCAAGTCTTAGCTAGCGAGTGGTAGGAGAGTGCGACTGGTAGGACCTATCTCTGTACTTTCCCTTCTGTAGTGTCTGTCTGTTGGTCTTACTTTTTCTTAGCACTGTTGTGACCATTATTGCGTTGAAGTGCTTCCCTTTACTCAAAATCTTGGCTAACAAACGAATGGTGTACCTTTTTTTCAGCAAGAAAAAAAGTATTCTGAAATATTTATACATCCGAACACACATGACGTGTTGGCATGTATTTCTGAATGTAACGATTCTCAGAGTCAGTGCTTTGACTTTAAATAAAACATGTTTTTGTTTCTTGGTTTTTAGCATCACCTAATGAGTCTCGGTATTAAATTTAATTTGTGTCATTTCCTTTTTCTGACAGTGGCTTGTACTTGTTTATGTGAAGATCTTTCTTGTCAACGCGGTTCTAGCAGATGGTTGAAATTTATATAAATTAAATGTACTGGTATACACATATGATAATATATGAACTGATAAAATTATGAGTATGCTTTAATAAAACTGAAGATAGTTGACATGTTTGAATTTAATTTTCTTGGTGTTTGTATGTCAAAATTTGTTTTCTCACATGGGTTTTCAAAGCCACTTCTTGAAGTCACATGAAAATGTTGGTAATGTTGGGCTATGGGGGGTTTTGTTTGGTAATAGTTTTACGGAGCTCACAACAACTGCATAAAGTCATAAGACTCTTATTAAGAGCCAACAAGACACATGGTGGTTGCTTTCATGTTAGCTCACACAGTACAACTTGGTTATATTTTATGGTTGAAGTTTTAAAAATTCATGGTTGAAATATATAAATCTTGACTTCAGTGGGATCAATGATGGAGAACAATTTTTGGTCATTTTGTACATTTGAAATATATCTTTTGGGTCCCTCCAAAGTCCGAAAATTCTATAAGGATGTGTCTCGGATCGTGAAGTCATTATCCATCGGATACAAATTAATGTTTGTTTCTTCTCCCTGTAGGAGATATCCATAGTCTGGTTAAAATAATTGTCTTTTACTTTTCTGGAGAAGCCCATATAGTTTTCATGGACCCATTTGGACTTTACTATTTACTTGTTCGCCCCATTACTTCCTCCTTGAATTCTTTCATTATGTTGTGCCATTTGACAAACCCTCAGTTGTCAAACTAATAAGGGTTTAATTAAATAGATGCATTCTTGATGCTATCTAGAATTTGGATTTTTTAAATTCCGTCTGAATGGGAAAAAAAATTACATAGTGAAATAATAGCCATTCCTTTTGGGGCTGATTTCAAAAGTTGGGCATCAATGGAGTTTCATAAAATCATAATCCAGGAGGTATAGATTTAGTTCAAGGAAAGTGACAAGTTTACAACGAAATCCCAGCAACTTTTCTTCACACTGGCAGCTCTGCAACATTATTCACAGAAATATCCGATTGCAAGTGAAAACATACCTTCAAGCTTTTTTTGTACAAATTGATTTTTTGGGGGGGGTCATGAAGATTGCTCCAACACCTGACATGGACGTACACATCGGAAGATTTTATGACATCATTGAGGCAGTGGGCGATGGTCAAACTTTTCTACAGGCCAGGGGCAAGGATGACGGCACTGATGTACAGATGAAAATTAAATCCAACTGGGATCGGCATGGAAATTTGATGGAGACATTTCAACAGAATCGGACTTTGCTTTAGAGCAAGTCCTAACAAAATCCTACGTACTATTTAATCCTTCCCAAAATGTTTTCCCCTAGCTGCCTGCTCAACCCTCCCCAGATGGAGATAAAATAACGGGTAACCTTTGACTATAACCTACATTGCTGTGAAAATGGGGTATCCAACAAAAGCAAAACTTAGCCTTAAAATAATTTTTACATGTATCGAGTAATGAGACTGAGGGGGAAAAAATTAAATGCCAATAAATGTCCTATAATTTTTTAAAAGAAAAAATGAAAGAAAAGGCAATGCTGAAATCAAGAGCACAAAGTTTGTTTTTTTTATTCTGAGAATACTGTACATTAAAACCAGCAACATGGGCTTCGTCAAATTCTTCACACGGGTATTTTCCATCATCATTGACATAACATGAAGAAAACAATACAAATTTATGATCAGTACGAGTATGTCATTTCAAGTAAGAAGATGGGGGAGGTGATGCCAATGAGCCCAGTGGAAGTGTTGTGGATTTGGGTGTGGTCGCATTTGTTTTATTTAGAGTTTAACAGCATTTGCAACACAATAAGGTCATGTTAGTGCTGAAGATTAGAGATGTTACAATAGAGTAACAAATACAAAAATGGAGGACGAGAGATAAAGAAGATAGATATTTGATAGGAAAGAAGGAGCAAAACACACTACAACACCCGCCAACCACTCACTGGTCACATCTGAGCCCCCAGTGTTGTCAGGAGCGTTAAACCTGTACAATCTCACACATTTACTCGCCTTGTAAATACCAAGCTGTGCATTTTTCAAAACCAGCACAATAATACATCATCAAAGATTTAATTCCTTTCACAAAAAAAAACTGTATCAAAACTTGGGTTTTAAAGAAAATAAGTTTGTAGCTTTGATTTGACAAATGCACGCTGGCACTATGGACACTGTTTGAAGTTGAAGTAAGACCTTTATCAATCTTTGAACTTGAGACAAACCTTTTATATGTGGTGGAATCAGGTGTTCGTCAATTAGTGGGCATACGAAGTTATAGGTATCCTAAAAAAGCATGTCTTGCTTTCGGTGCAAAAAATACCCATCTGTCTTGAAAAGAAGTCGATACATTTGCGCTTGAAAAGGTGGAGATTACCTGGTGTCAGAGGTAAAATTAGCGGGAAAATGGCCACCAAAGTTCTGAGACTTCCAAAGCCTGGAGGGTCCTTGGAAATTGCAAATTTACATATTTTTTGGTGCATTTAGTCAACTTTTTTTGGTTGTAAAATCCACACAGAAATGTGTTTTTACATGGTCACAAAAGCTGTTGAGCCCACCAAAAAGAAAATTTGACGACACCATTGCTCAAGGCCATACAAAAACTGGTTTCTTTGTTTTCATAATTTTGACAAACCTGTAATTTCACCAGGATGCCTCACATATGAAAAAACCAAACTCACAGGTAACTAAAGTAGATGAAAGGAGTTTAGTGTACAGTACCCCAGTCAGTCTTCTCTCATACGACAACCACAAGTACTTTTGAAGTACAGGGCATAACAGGAGAGGGTTCCCAAATAGACTAACTGCTAACCTGAAAGAAGTCTATTTGTTTGAATAAAGAGAAGCAAATTGACAAAACAATGGTCATTTTCAGTGCTGGGAAAAAGTAAGACAGACAGACAGACAGACAGACAGACAGACAGACTCGGTAGTGGGAAAGTAGAGAAGTAGGACCTACCAAAGGCGCCCTCCAACTACCCGCCCGCAGGAAGCGAAACTCGAGTACATTTACTGGTACAATTTAATAATTAAGTGAGCACATCTAAGCACTGTGTACAACAAGTGTAACATTTATTAATTTGGTGTGTCACTTTTCCCCTGCTTTTTTCTTGCTAGCACTAGCAGCACACAAAAATATTGTGGTGGCCCCACCCACCAATTTCCTGCTAGCACTAGCAGCACACAAAAATATTGTGGTGGCCCCACCCAGACCTCAGATGTGACCAAGTCCTGAAGGCAAGTACATGTAAACTATGTAGTGTATCATTTTGTGTGTGTGAGAGAGAGAGAGAGAGAGAGAAGGGGGGGAGGGAGAGAGACAGAGAGATAAAATAGAGACAGCAGACTGAGACAGACAGAAGAGAGGGGGTAGGGATAGATGAGGGTAACAGGAAAAGAAACCAAAAAGAAAATATAATCTCTCACACAGTAGGTACTAAAAGAAGAAAGACAATTTGTGGTCTCCGCGCCAAAAAAATGTATATCTAAGAATATTAAAATACAGCTTGAGGATTTAAGACCCCAGGTCTGTAAAGTGCTAGTTGAAGCCCCCACAGGAAGAAAAAATAAGGCATTAATCTTTTATACTCATTGCTGCCTTTATCTTACCATAATAAGACCCCAACATCATTGAAATTAATCGAAGTGAAACAATCAAACGAAAACATACACCTCACAACAACTTGAGAACATCATAGAGATTAAATGTGGTGACTAGAGAAACAGGGCTCGTCTCTAAATTTGGAGGCGTTGCTTTCACAATCTTTTTAGAATTTTAAAGTTTTATGCAGCTAACATTAACACAATAAAGGCCAAAATTTCAGAGGTCTCATAATTTACACACTTCTTCAAAAGGAGAGTAAAAAAGTGCGGAAAAACTCTAATACTAATAAATCAAACAATACCTGTCCTAGTTTAGTTTTAGTAGAGGTTTTACAGGGCTCGAAACTGCATAAGGTCATATGAGCGCCAAGGGGTGCATGTCAACAGAGAAGTCCTTACAGGGAATCAGACTTTCACTGCTCACCTCTCTAGCTTCAACAGCACAAAGTCTTTACCTGTCCTCCCCACCCCAGCAGTCAATACCACAAAACAAAACCCTGGTCAAGCTTCAGGAAAGAGCCATTATTTTAGCGAGTTTCAAAACAAATTTAGTGAGAAAATATATGCCAGGGAAGCAAAAATATATAGAAGCATGGTCTACATACATAACCCTTACAGTACCAGGCTATCTGGCCCATGCAATACCTATTGTAGAGCAGAGCTGCATTTTCTTTTAACGTATTAAAAAATCATTTCTACTTTGCTTTTACTTTTAAGCTCTGAAAGATATAATAATATGTAGAATATTTGTCAGAGACAGTGGGGTAGATTGTTTTTTTTTAAATGTGGCTTCTGTGTCCTAGTAGTGGTGTCTCTCAGTACCACAACCGTAAGGCTATGGGTTTAAATCCCATCAGGGGCCCCGACAGTCTTGTGAAAGGTACTTCAAACAAATTTTCCGCACTTCACCCTGGTGGGAATGGGTGCCCGTCTGTTTGAGTTTGAGCACATGCAATCCAAGCTAGCACTGCACGTTTACCAGGAAGCCGAGAATATTTCCGAGTGTTTAGTTTTAGTAGAGGATTTACGGCACTCGCAACTGCTTAAGGTCATATGAGTGCCAGAAGATAAGAGGTGTTACAAGAGAGTAACAAACATAAACAAGAAGAAGGGGAGATAAGGACGATAGAAGTTCGATAGGAAAGAAGGAGCAGACCACACCAGAACACCCGCCAACCACCCACTTTCTGAGTGTACTAGAGTCTGCTGGGGTAATAAAAGCAGAAAAGCGCCTACAGCATACTATAGAGCATGAATGCACTATATAAATGCAATTGTTATTATATCGTTATTAGAGGCGGCCAGCGCCCTGTGAGGGAAATCTTCGTGACTGGGCCTGGGGGAGGGGACGAGAACTTATGAGGGAAATATACACAACTGGGGGTTGTAATGTAAGGGTTAATAAACAGATAGACTCCAGTTTGTTCTAGTACATTATCTTCTTCTTAACAACCCTGGCATCCACAGGAGAGGGGAAAGGATAGCAGACATTGTGTGGAGGGCACTGAAGCTTGAAGCATTGGAAAAACTTTTCATCTATTGGGGGGAAAAAAAGCTCTTTTGAAAGAGAAGCTAATGCCTTACTGGAGACAGTCTATTCCCCCCCCCCCCCTCACAATACGGGGCTGAGAAGAGACACAGGAGCCTCCTTGTGTGTAAAAGTTTGTCGATTAATAGCAACTCAGAAACCCCTAAAGGCTTCTGTGTAACACTTCATCAACACATTTCAAAGAAAAGTTTCATTTAGTTCAGTTTAATTAAACCCACTTTTTCATGGTCCAGTCAAGCTTTACAAAATGAAACCAACAGACTTGCAGAATTTTGTGAAGGTAGTTTAAAACAAACACCTCTGCAGTCACAGCATCTTAACTGTACAAAGACATGTCATAACATTTCAGAAAAGAATATCATCATTGCATACATTTTACAATCAAATATGATTACTTGAACCAAATATATATTATATGATGCATATAGACCAATTTCCACCCCCTTTCCACAGAAGACAATGGGGTGTGATAACACCCTCTGGACGTCAAACTTTCGAATATACATGACAAAATCTGAGCAATTTGTGTGTGAAAACAGGAGGAGAGGGAGGAGGGAAGGCAGATGAGAAGGAAAGGTTGTGGGTATCAAGCGGTAGCTTTCCGTCAGAGCAATAACATACACATTTTGTTTAGTTTAGTAAAGAGTTTTACGGCACTTGCAACACAATAAGGTCATATAAGTGCCGAAGATTAGAGGTGTTAGAAGAGAGTAACAACAAACGTAAAAAGAAGGAGGAGAGATAAGGACGATAGATGTTTAAGAGGAAAGAAGGAGCAAACCACACCAGAGCACCCGCCAACCACCCACTTGCTGAGTTTGAGTTTTTTTAAAGTAAAGAGAAGCACATCAACACAATAACGGTCACAGCTGGGAAAAAGTCAGACAGACAGAAACATCAGAGGGAGAGAAAGGAAGTTGGACCTACCAGCTGGGGAAAAGTCAGACAGACAGAAACATCAGAGGGAGAGAAAGGAAGTTGGACCTACCAGTGGCGCCCTCCAACCACCCGCACATTTTGTTAAGAGAACAGTGCAGATCAGAACAACAGCAGCACCTGGAACAGGAAGAAGTGGAAGACACACACCCCACTAAGACAGCCAAGCTACCAGAGGTACCGAAGGGAGTTGGTGATGGTGAGTGTCTGCGTGGATAGCATTGAGACACTCCACCCGAAAAAGAAAACTAGCCAGTGAAGAAATAAATCAATTGAACACATTACACTCAGGGGTCAAAAGGTCTGGACCGGAAATCTATCCCCCCACCCTAAGCAAGGGAAGGCAGCTTAACTCCAGTGAATACAGGTATTTTCTACAAACACTTTTAAAATACTACACATATTTCTAAAATTCTGAAAATTTAAAAATTAGAAAGAGAAATGAATGTGGTTTCAGAAAAATATAACTTTATATATACAGACTCTTGGAAAAGTTCCAATTTTACTTTAATCGGGGTGTCCAACCCGTCACTCTCAGCCTCACAGTCGGGCTCCAGATCTCGATTCTACATCTGATAGGTCTGAACCCTCCAGCTACGTTTTCGTTAATATCTGATTCATCCTTTTCTTGTTGTGGATCATATCCAACGCTATTTGCTTGTTCTACCTCAATTTTGTCACTTTTCAACTCACTGAGCCATCTTTGAAGTGTCAGAAAAACAATCACGCTTCAATCGGCTCTTGTACTAGAACTACTAGCCGGAAAAAAATTCGTGTTGGTATCAGACAACAGAAGAAAAAATTTGCAATAACAAAACAAATTAAAATTTCCGCCCCCGAGTATTGTCAAAGCGAAACTTTTTTTCTAAAGGCGCCTGGTCTGACCAAGTAATTCCAGGGACATTAGGATGGAGCGGGTGTAGAAATCTACGGGTCACCTTGGATGAGGTAGGGTGTAGTGTGTTACGGCCAAAGAGCAGATCTCGAGGAAGGACACAGACATAGCTATTTGGTCAGATTGAGCCGAGTAAGAAATATAGAAGGTAAACAGGCAGAAAGTTAAGTAAAGTACTTAATGTAAAAGGACTTTACAGTCGCACCCTCCAGTCTAAGCATACAAAGGCCTGTTTCGCAAATGTCCACAACACAGGACTCAACAGAACACGAAAATGGAATTCAGGAGTAAAATAAACAAACAATAGAATTACTCTGTCACAACAATAAAATATAATATTCATACCAAGGCTATTCAACAGTCCATGTCTCCTACAAAACACAAGAGACAATAAATACCCATTCAATCTCTCACTCATTCTTATCCACATAAAAAAGCACAAACCACAAACATACAAAAAGCAAAGAAAGCTACGCAAAACATGTGAACATACTTAAAGTTAGTGAGATCAAAAGTAACCCTCTCATATCAACATATATGACATTCCAAAGAATTTTTCCCAACAAGAAAAACTACCCGTGGAAATTCTTTCCCAACGATCCACCGAGACAAAGCATCACGTTGTCAGGTTCGATCTAACGAAAGAAAAGAGGGCACAAAATGTTACGAGAGCGAGAGCACAGCAGGGCCTGTTGCTAGTGCTACTTAACATCTCATTGTCTCACGTCTTGTCGCTGCAGCAGTGCAGCACGGCACGGCAGCCGGGTACTCAAACAACACACATGGAAACTTGGACAAAGTGAAAGACTAAAGTAGCTGCAAAGTCTGTCTTTCTGTAACAGATGCATTAAAAACAAACACATATCCACACTTTCTCTGTCCGATACATACACACGCTCACATGAGCTCATACACTGTGGTATGACATTATGTACAGAGAGAGCGATTACAGCTTCTCAAAACTGAAAAACAGACAATAGCTCCAGCTACTCCAAGCTGCGTTAGTGGGATAAAGGGAGAGAACTAAGAGAAGGAAAAAATGTAAACAAAGGACTGAGATGGAATATCACCTACTGGTAGCAACCTCCAACCACGCACCCCCTCCCCCCAACCAGCAAAAAAATAACATACGGTGGTTGATACTGAAGAATAATACCCTTCTCAATACAACACATGACATTATAAAGGAGCTACACTTGAATTCGTCTCCAGACATCTGGAAAGAGTGGAGAAATGTTCTGAAAAGAACATGAATAGATTTCAAATCTCCTATGGACTTGGAACCTTGAACAACTGTTTTGTTTGTTTTAGTAAAGGTTTTCCGGAGCTCGCAACTGCATACGGTCAAGATTTACTCTGCTCACCTCTCTAGCTTCAACAGTACAAAGTCTGCTTCGACTATCAAGGCACCCTGGAAAGCGGGTCACAAGAGTGTGACAAACATACAAAAGAAGTAGAGAAAATTACGACAGTAAGGATTAGGAAAGAAAAAGCAGCAGTTCCCTGTTGCAGTTCAGGCACAGTTATGAGCATGACATTGTTAGATAAGCCCATTTACAATTCTACTGTGCATTAGAACGAGAAATGTCCCCACTTTGGGAATGGTCTAAAAACACTTTAGTCAGCGGCACCGCCCTGGCGGGAAAACACCTATTTGTAGCCCAACGTTACACTTAGGAAAGGAATTGATTCCGATAAATAATTTTTTTAAATGTTAGTTTTTTTTATCTGGGCTAAGCCCCCCCCCCCCATCGTGATCATCATAAATGAGTAAATCTGTTCACGTCTATCCCTATTTATAAGTTAATTGTGACAATCGGTTGTTCTTCTCACACGTGTGAGTGCATGGTTAAGCCTTTCGCAAGAAAAATTGGTACACCCCTTTGAGGCACTACCCCCTGTGGTAATACAGAAAGGAAGGGAAGGGGAAGACAGAAAAAAAGAAGAGCAAAATAAAGCATACACAACATATATCACACACAAGCGTTAGAACAGGCACCCACATACATTACAAGAGTATGGGGAAGGTGCCCCTCCCGCTGGTATGCTATGGATGTATATTATTCGTTATCACCCAGCCTATTGAGGAAGAGTGATCAAGCCTTTGTATGTACAGAAATCTATAAATCTGGTGAAAGATCACGGGATAAGGGCCACTTCGGCCGCCAGAGCAGGGCCGTATAGGAAGGAAACAAAAAACAAAAACATAAAAATAAGAGATGCAATAAGACAATCAGGATTCGCATATAACCTTTTCTATATACATCTCATACACGCACAAAAAAAAGGGAAAAAAAGGAATTCTTCAAGGTAAAAGAAATGTTTCCATCTGGTCAGTTGGCTGACCCATCTACTTTGTTCATTCCACTAGAATTGCGCTGTTTGCATCTTGCTCAGGCAACAAAACATTTTTTGGACCTGATTGTTTTACTGTAATCAGCTCAAGTCAAATAGGGTGGTACAAAAGTCACTTTCTATACAACTATAGCATACGAATCAGAGAAGCTGAAATTGGAAGGGCATTTAAAAGAAGAGGTTCAAAGACTTTCTTGTGACAGTCTAATAGAGATGAATGGGCGAAGTTTTTGCTCCTTGCTTTATTCATTTCAATTTCAAAGCAATTTGAAAAATTAAAAATGAATAATTTGATCATGTGAATAATTGTTCCCCATTTTTTAAAAACTGAATTAAATCATATTTCAAAATAACTGAAACCGTTAGAAATAAAACAGAAATCTGGGGCATAAAATTGCTTCTCTTCTCCTTTTCGTGTCTAATCAAAATCATTATAATCTGAGTTCGGAAACAGAGAAAATCATTTATGCACCACCCTTTACAATACAACTGGGGAAAGAAACTTGGCAAAAACTGGAAACGGCAACCATCATCGCAGAGAAACATCCTTGATGTGGCCAAGCAGGAATGATACATTGTGGGTAATTCGAAGTACATCATTCTTTCATTTGTAGGGGACCCCAAAAAAAAAGTCTTCGCACACATTACTCATTCACCATTTTTTTTTGCCATCAAAAAAAAAAAAAAAAAAAAATATTATATGTACAATATATGGGTATACTTTGAGGCAAAACTCTGGTCTGCCAACTTGCAAACATTGCTGTACATGTCAAGTTTTTCACACATTTTCCTGACATCTATCTCTTGTAAAAAAACCAAAAAAAAACCCTCATGAACTCGCACACCTTGAAAAAATTTGAACTGCATTGCTGGGCCAGAACGATCTATAATTATCATTTGGTAGCTTTGATTCTGTTGACATTACCACCCGACTAGACACAAGGCAAGCTATTTTAAAGGTATACACTTGGTTCCTCCCACAAAAAAAAACGGAAAAAAAAAACGAGAGGAAAACCAAATTCAGGAAGGAAGAGGAAAAGAGTTGTCCATCCAACCCCCCCCCCCCCCCCCCAACTCTGATTCTGACAACAATCGCAACCAGCTTTGCTAAATCAGCCAGCCCATGACAAGGAGAAATTGAATACAGACCCCACCTTACGCACATCAGCAGCTGAGATGCCCGTGCTAACATCAAAGGCAGATTAGTATTCAACCATATTCAAACCAGCATAGCAATTTATCATGAATGCAATCAGACAGGATTTATGTTTCTAATAATTCGCTTTTCACCTCCATTTTAGCAGTTCTCTGAAAAATGAAACCAGTTTCACATGCAACGCAGATAAGATGACATGCTGAAAAGAATCCCAAGGAGTGATGGAGTCATTCCTTTTTTTTGTGAGAAGCAATCTTCCTTAAAAAAAAAAAAAAACAGAAAGAAAAAAACAACAACCCCCGAACTCTCACTGTTTTTTTCAGCAAGTCATTATCCCAGCCCTACACGTGTTACAACAGTTTCTTGTTTCCAGGAACCTAGAATGGCCCACTTATAAATCTTTCTATACCAATATGTACATTACAGGAACATTTTACATGGCTGCCCTGTACACCCAATACACTTCTCCTCCTCGATTAACCTAACTTTTAGCAGTCCAATGCCAATACATTTTGCTAGTCCACAGTTAAGTCAAATATCTGCTCTCCACCGTGCATATCTTTTTTTCTCAATCCGCAGCGTCTGTGCTTCTCTCTCTCAAGTCACTCCCCCTCTACATTCATGTCTCTCGTCTGTCTAAGCATCTCTCTCACTCTCTATCCCTTTTCAATCTCTTCACTTGCTCTCTCCATTTATATATTTGTCATTCAATCTGTGCATTTCTCTCTCTCCCCCTTCACTGCACCATCTTTACAACTGAGTGTCAAATAGTCTGTCTGTGTATACACACACACACACACGCAAACCCCCCCCCCCCCTTCTCCCTCAAGTTCATACAGGCTTGTATAGTCAATCCACTGTCTGCACCACCTGTGTCCGCTGCTCAATGATCCGCGAGGACGCCGTGTGCTGCTCAATGAGGCGTGCTGCAGTGGCTGCTGCCTGCGCGTCAGACTTCATGACGTAGGTCAGGCGTGTTCGTGAGTGGACGTGTGGGGCACGGCGGTCCACCACTGATATCTCTTCGCTTGTGCCCACCAAGCGGCTCAGCTCAGCGGCAGTGTACCCGAGTAGCATCTTCAAGTCGCAGACAAACTTGTACACAAACCGCTTCCCATGAACCTGCACACCAAGAGAAGACAGACACAATCAATTTATTTTTCTCCTAAAAAAACAAACTTTTAACAATAAAAAATTAGGAACCTAGTAACCAGTTAATTCCCCAGGGGAGTTTCCTGAAAACGATTGCACTGTGCAAAAAATCCTTGTCAACATTGAAATTAAACTTTTTCTAGGTAAATTGTTATTAAAAGATCTATAACCCATGAGCTAGATATTTTATTTCATAGGAAACACACAAAAAATCACATTCTGCTATTTCACTGTATATTTGACACCGGAACAATCAGTATGGATACTTTGCGGTGCAAGGGGGGGGACTGAGCACTTATGGACCTGTCTGGTGTGCAATGACATTGTTGCCCAGGACAGGTAATACAGGTAACTGTATAATAGTCAAACTAATTTGAGTGCTATTTTGGGCCCAAATCTGATTTTTGGGTAAAACAGTCAAGGGCACAAGATGGAAAGTCACATGGTTAAAGATAGCACAATCCTTTTACAATCATCTTCAGATCAGTTTATCTAATATTCACAAAATAATAATACTGGGTTGACTGAGAAATTACGAACACATTAACAAAGTGAAAATCACTGATACTCTGATAATCTCTACCCGTTTCAGTCACTTATCAATAGCTATACACCTGAAGGCATTGTTTCAAAGTTTGTATCTTTTATCAAATACTAATTCAAGAATGTCCACCAAACAGGATTCAAATTGTGATTGGAGGGTCCTTTGATGTGGTTTGCTTCTTCTTTTCTAACAAACACCTATCATCCTTATTCTCCTCTTTCTTCTTTTGCATCTCTTACTTTCCATTAACACCTCTAATGTTCAGTACTTTAATAACTGAATTGTGCTGCAAGTGCCATCAATGGGCAACTAAAATGAAAGACTTCAAGTAAAGGTGTCCAAGCCCAAGGCAGGAAGAGAAACATTTTGAACAACACGGTACAGAAAGAACTACAACTTCTAAGGAATGCCAGAGTGGCAGCAGCTATAGACAGCCTGAGTCACTTAAAGCCAATACATGGGTACAACGATGGTTAATTATACAACATAGAGCTGAAGTTTGCAGTTTGTGGTCATAATGGTCACAATTCCAAAGAATCAGATGAGAACAGCGCCAACACAAGAAAAAAAGAAGAGAAAGCAGGGGGAAAGATTGAGTGCACACCAACCACCCTCTTCAAACCGTTTTAAAAAAACAACACAGTATCTAACAGAAATAATAGGGAATTTCAAAAATTAGAAATGCAATATCCGCGTTTCTTTTGTTTGTTTCTCTTCCATTATAAAGAGCATCAGCAATCAGCATTTAAAACTGTCACATATTATTCAAAATCAACAAGGTAACACCATTACTCTTGTGCAAAAGCCTTTCACGAGGAGCTCAGGAATATATCTAGGATAGCATGCCATTAAACATGCAAACCTTTATTAACACTTTGCCTCCTCGTCTCGCCAATTGGCGATGTTTACCACCCAGTTTCTTTGGATTTTTCCAAAAATATGAAGGCAAAGTGAGAGTAAAGAAGCATACTAATACTGATAAAACTGACAAGCAATGAAGACAACATTAAACATGAGGGATGGGGGAAGCAACAAGCAACAAAGAAAAAGAAAGAAAGAAAAAGAGAAGCAGCAAACCAAACTGTATAAAAGCATAAAAAGGCCATAAATTATCGGTTCTTGTTACATGTAGTTGAATTAAAATATGGAAGGGAGAAGAGTGGAAAAAATATACAGACCACAGGAAAGGACCAGCATGCTTGTCTTCATTAATATTTTTGCCCTTTTTTAATTAAAAAAACCCCCAAAAACATGGGGTGATCCTACAGTACCATGCCACTGATTAGAATGCAACATATTCAGACCAGCCCTTTATTTTCACATGATGCACAAAGCTTTGTACTTCACACAAACTGAAGGTGGGTTAAAAAGAATAAAGAAAAGACCACGTAAAAAAAAAAAGCAAAAGAAAACAAATTTTAAGCACTGATTTTATAAAAGGGCGAAGGTAGGGACGAGGTAGAGGGGGAAACATCCATACCGGCTGAGAGGGACAGGCAACAAAATCTAGAAAAAGTAGGGAGTCACTTACATTACGTACCTTGGCAATCATGTCGCCGTCGTAGTAGTACCTTAAGGCCCGCGACAGCTTCTCGTAGTTCATGGTGGGCTTGTTCTTGCGCTGGCCCCACATCTGGGCCACCACCTCGGGGTTGACCAGCTTGAACTCACCCTCCTCCCCTACCCAGGCGATGACTTCGCGGCACATCTTGTCCGTCAGCAACTCCAGCAGGAACTGCCACAGCTGGATCTGTCCGTTGTTACCTGTACACAGCACAAGGAGATCGCTAGAGAGTTTGGGTTTTGTTTTTTAAAAGTTTGTTTTGTTTAAAAGTAAGCATTTTACGGCATTTGCAACACAATTAGGCCATATAACTGCTGAAGGTGGGAGGTGTTACAAGAGAATAACAAACGCAATACAGAAAGGAGAGAAAAGGATGACAGATGTTTGAAAGGAAAGGAGAAGCAAACCACAGCAGAGCACCTGCCAATCTTCCACTTTTAAAACATGTCATAAAAATAATAATAATAATTACATTTATACAGTGCATATCCATGCTCTATTTACATTACAACTATTTCCACCCCAACAAACCCTAAAACACTCAGAAACATTTCCAGTTTTCCTGATATGCATACAGTGCAAACAACCAATTGAGCACTCAAAACACTATCCAACTGAAAAGATCTTTCTCCCTTATAGCCAGGTACCCATTCCCACCTGAATAAAGTGAAGAAAATTTGAGTCAAGTGCCTTTTTCAAGAACACAACATTGGGACCCGCAACCTCATGACTACTAATCTTGTTGCCTAACCACTAGACTAACAACACCATTTAAGTACCTGCACTAAATGAGGGTTGTTGAGCCCAAACTTAAACTAAAGCACCATAGGCCCCTCTGTGAAGTTAACATTTTTTTTTTTAAGCCTTAAAATTATAAACAAATATCATCAACACTTTATACACAGAACAAATTTTGCAGCAACAAGAAAACAAACAACACTCAAACATCGCAAATGATTATTTCACAAAAGTATTACAAACTGTGCAGGGACTTGTACAGTCGGCTTTTACCTGTACCTTTCTTTAACTGTTTTTATCCTCACGGTACCCCCACGGACTCTGTACCCGTCCTGGGGCTGCCGCGCCATATGAGTTGGAATTCAGAGTGCATATTTCAAAGTGCTGTATTTCTTACTTTTACTCTTAGGTTTTAAGGAAATTTGGCAGTTATGTTAGAAATAGAATGTAGTTTTGGTAAAAGCATGTGGTGAGGAATTACACCAATTGCACCATGTAGATTTTGAAGTGTATTCCACCCTCCAACTTGACCCTGATTGCTGCACCCATGACATCCCATTGGATTTTATAGATTTAGCCCTACCCATTGATACAGCACAAATTCCAGCACTGACCCCTTCACCATGATCTGAATCGCTATTGCATGAGTCTAAGTCCTGTTCGTTATCATCCACAACGGAAATTACGGCACTTGATTCAGAGTCACTTTCATTAAATTAGTATAATTCTCCATCACAACCCACCGTCACTTCAAGAAGTACTTTGTCGGTCGTGAACGTGCATGTTCAAGACATCATTCAAGCTTCTACACCCATCAAAAACAAAGAAACTGCTGTTGATTGGGAAATTTAAATATTCAGACAGCTAGCATCGCCGTATTTGAGTATTTGAGTAATTACAAGCAGAACTAGCTTTTTTAACATGACCATATAGCTGTTCCGAGTTAACTCTTAGCCCGGACTGGTCCTCGTTACGAGTATACACGTAGCCCGGATAAAAAGAGTTAAAGGCAAGAACTTGTTCAGCTGGCTTACAGCTGTATCTTTCTCCAAATACAAGAACGTTAACAGTTGGCTTTACCTGTATCTTTTTCCAAATACAGGAACTTTTACTATTGGCTTTACCTGTATCTGTCTCCAAATACAAGAACTTATACAGTTGGCTTTATGAGTATCTTTTTTTTAAATGAAGGAACTTATACAGTTGGCTTTAAAATTTTAAATGCAGAAACTTAGACAGTTGTTCTTTAACATGTAGCTATCTTTCTTTGACTTAAAAAATTAACAGATTTAGATGATAACCACAATAGCAACATTGTTGTGGAGATATCCTAGAAGACCCATAAATCTCACCTGTCCTGTTTCCAGGAGACATTCTCTCCTCTCCCGTGATCCGCGGCGAGCGAGGCCGGTGCTTGCCCACAGACCGCACTCTCCCTGAGAACATACATCACAGTTCTAGAAAATTTTAAGGCACTTGCAACACAATTAGGTCATATAAAAGCCTAATACTAAAGGTGTTACAAGAGAGTAATATACACATAAAAAGACAGTTTTCCCTTCATCACATGACCAGAGGGCAATCAACAAAACTCCAATAGGCCAACAGGAGGTGCAACCCCTCAAATAAGCATTCAACACATACGAAAATCAAACTCAATTATGCTGGGGCCATATTGATTTATACTTTGAGGTTATGTCTTGTCTGTCTTCTTTTTTCCTATAGTCAAGGACGATTGAGTATTCCTTGAATGAAATAAATCTATCTGGACCCAGTAAGACTGACATTAACCACTTCACTGCCCCGGCCCATTGATCAGCGGGCCAAGAAGTGCTTCCCTGTGCCATGTGCCCGCTGATTCGACGGGCCTATGATGAAGACATTTTAGTGTAATTTTCCACCTTTTAAAGGGACAAAACTGTGTTGCGCCTGACTAATCCTCATTGATAATACAGTAGTCTCCCGTGAATCTGAGCGTCATTTTCATTGTTTTGAAGAAGTGAAGTGTTGACGTTCTGAGTTGTGTTTTTGGGGGTGTTTTTTTTTGCTTTTCGCAATGGCATCCAACAGACCAGTCTATCGACCTTTCTTTTTAGCTGCAGAAGTTCTACACGAAAATATGAAAGACTGTAACAGTGATGATAATGATTTCAATTGAGTTTCAGAGTTAGGGGCTCTATGTGACGCTTGTAATAATTGGAGCAATTTTCCCCAGCACAGCTATGTAGCTCATAGCCGGCAGTGAAGGGGTTAAAACATGAAACATCTCAGTTCCTTTCTTAAAGACACCACATCGGACCAAGCTGCTGAGCCTCAAACCTCTGAACCTGCAACATCACGATTATGAATCCAGTAGCCTAAACCACTAGCCCATACGTGCCAATGTTGCCTGGGCCAAAATCTGTAGTTGACACAAATTTTTGTCCAAAAATCTGAAGTTGACCTAAAAAATCTGAGGTAGGCTGTATTACCACTTGCCGCATACTTAATTGGGGACTCTTATTAATATTTTGACCCACACATACATGAGTGTGTTTGCGACTTCAAACAAATGTAGAAAATGACAAAGAGCAAAAAACAAAAATTGCAATTACGATGAAAAATTAAATTTTTATCTGACTTTAATGAAAGAAGAGTAAATTCTAAGAACTGTGGTTTTTTAATTTTTTAAATCCATTCATAAATAAAAAAGTTATTGGGATCTTTTGTTTCAAAATTTGGGGGGACTTTCATATAGGAATATATTGCCAAAAAGTGGGTCCATTCTTGATGTATTTTGAGGAAAAACTGTTTATAAGACAGTAATGAGTTGGAAGTATACGAAAGAAACTTGGCATCTTCGTGTGATTTTTAGTGCAGAATCTAGTTCTGCTATCACTTTTTCGAAATCTATCTTTGGATCTTTAAGACTAATATGAAATGTGCATAAAAACATGTTGAATTGCGCAACATCGCTTGAACTATGGCCGATCACCCCTCTACCCCTTAGCAAAGCAGTATTGGGAAAACCCGCAATGACGCCATTGGTTATCTGTTTAGTTTTAGCAGTTTTAACATTGTTTTACTGTAAAACTCTCTGGTTTTGGGCAGTCAATCACATGCCGCCTAGCAATCACGCCCCTCTTGCATACCGGCAACTCGTGTGTTGGGTCCGTGATCTAGTTTCCAGCTCCAGTGTTTTATCAATGGACGGGTGGTAATTTTAAATTGGTACATAAAGTATAGGCCTACTACACACAAAGATCTGAAATTTTACAGCAATAAAGAATACATGTGGGACGCTTGTCGGTGGCTTATCTCTCAAAATCGGTGGATCGGCAGTTTGACCAAAAAGTCGGTATTATACTGATTTTTTCTGTAGGGTAGGCAGGTATGCTAGCCACCTAGTGGGGTTCAATGTTGTTCCTCCTCCTTTTCTAATACAGTTCCTCAGACTACTGTACAGACAGGGGACCAGGGTGCTTAGTCTATATAATGTTTTTTAGTCTAGTAAGAGTTTTACATAATTTGTAACACAAAAAGGGCTCATAAGAGCTGAATATTAAGGGTGAAACCACTAGAGATTAACAAACAAATACAAGAAGGAGAGATAAAGACAACAGATATGTTGGCAAGGAAAGAAGGAGCAAACGACATCAGAGCCCCCACCAACCACCCACATCCACATAATGACCTTCATCACGCCAAGCAAAGCGTAAAAAATTCAAATAAAACCATAACAGCAGCCAATCAACACTTACCGTATTTGCCTTCAGCGTCTGATGTGGACACGGTGATGGTAGTAATGGCGTGGGGCGTTGGCTGCTGCATCACAGCTGGAGGAGGACAAACAGACACATTGCAGTTTCCTTGTTTGTTTTAATAGAGGTTATATAGCGCTCGCAACTGCGTAAGGTCATATGAGCGCCAAGGGGTGTATATCAACAGAGAGGTCCTTACAGGGAATCAGGCTTACTCTGCTCACCTTGCTAGCTTCAACAGCACAAAGTCTGCTTCGACTATCAAGGAACCACGGAAATAGCGGGTCACAAGAATGACAAACACACAAAAGAAGTAGAGGAAAAATTATGCTAGTAAAGAATAGGAAAGAAAAAGCAGCAGTTCCCTCCTGTTGCAGTTCAGGCACAGTTATGAGCTTGACATTATGAATGAGAATCAGCACATTTACAATTACAATTCTACTGTGCATAAAAACATGGTTAATGTCCCCCCTTCGGGAATGGCCTAACGGCACTTCAGTCAGCAGTACTGCCCCGGGGAGTACGCAGTCTCCCATTCAGCTTTGCTCAAGTGACACACTTTGAACACGCATACTTGTAACAATAATTATAATAAAAACAATAGTAATAATAATAAACATATTTATAAAAGTAAATATAATAACAATAATGGTAAGAGTTTGTCCTCCAATGTCTGACAAGTGACTAATGCATCAGCAGAGAAGAATATTTCTTATTCTGACATAGATAAAATATAAAATTAAAGAGGATTTGTGGCTTCTGCTATGGCCAATTAGAACCAAATGTGGTCGAGAAGAGTTTGCCAGATTTTAAGCAATTAAAAGGTTCATTTCCACTCGTGGGTGTGCATGGCTTGCAGGTTACTCTCTTGGCTTTAGTATTTGCATCATTAACTATATGACAGTCAGTAAAATAGCATCATTACAATGAGGTAACCCTACACAGCTTAGGTGCACAGGTCCTGTAGGCTCTGTGGTAAAAATAATTCCTTGAGAGACCTTCTTTCCATCAAGGTAACCCTGAGCATTCTTCAAAAATAACCAGCCATACATTGTTTGAATGACTCATTTGGTCTTAGTTTATAAATAAATATAAAAGAGCTACTCACCCACAAACTTGCACTTGCGCAGCAGCTCCAAGTGTGTCCAGAAGATGTCACCGGGGTCATTGGGGATGTGCTGCACAAACTCTGGGTGCGTCATGGCACAGAGCTGTTCCCCGTTCAGGTTGAAAGCTTCAATATTGACATTCAGCAGACGAAACTCCTTCACTGCCCACTGGATCCAGTGCTTGACGTGCAGTTCACTCCACTGGGCTGGGTCTGATAAAAGCAAATAATTCTTCTTTCAAAGAAATTGTTATCTCATAAAAGGCCATGAAGCCCACAAGAATTCCTACCCCGATCATTAAGTCATCTATCCATGCAAAGTCTACGGGTAGGGGGAGGAGTTGAAAACAATTCAGTAAGTAAAATCAAGCAGCATCAGTGAAGCAGCTTTTGAGTGTTTTCTGGCATGACACATTTACTTCAACATTGCACAATGAACTCCCAACACAAATAAACAAATTGTCTTCTGTAAAAAAATAGCAACAACAAACCCCGTCTTTCAACACGCATAATAAGCGAGTCCTGCCCCCCCCCCTTTCATCTTAAAATAATCAGTCTTCTGAGTAGTACAAAAATTAACTATTCATGAGGCAACTATTTCCATTTCCATAAATCATGCCTCCCTGCCCTTTTCGGCACATATTCAATATGAAAACAACATAACTAATTTCTCAATGCTAAACTTACCAAACGGAATTTTTAATCTTTCTTGGTCTCGTCGAAAGTTCTGGTCAACAATCCAACGTGTTACATTTTCCGATTCTTCAGGCAAGGGAATGACAACCTTGGCATTCTGACTTTGAGAGGCACTGTTGGACTGCAGAGCCTGCTCCGCGGCTGGAACGAAGGACACAAATTTGAGTTGATTGATAGAAATGAAAAGACAAAGTTTTCAGCTGTAAAGGGTTTGGAAATTAAAAAAACAAACATATTTTTTTTTCTCCCTGCATGCACATTATCAATTATTCGTCAGTTAAGGACAGTGAAAATTGGTCCACCCATATAGGTAGTAACTGAAGTAACAACTTACATAGTTCTATACTTTGTGCTGACATTCTTAAGATCTTTACCCCAATCATAATCAAAATGTTTAAACGAACACACCTCTAATTTTCTAAACAAAATAAGATAAAATTTATAGTCCGGACTTCCATTTTCACTTTCCAGACACCAAACAAAGAGACCATGCATTTTACAGAAAGGAATGAACAGGAAACTGAACATACGGAGCACATATACTGAAATATCGAAGAAGAACAAGGTCATCCAGTGAAATTCACAGGTCTTAGAAATAACACTAATTTCATCAAGATTCAAGCATTTTTAGACAGTTCCTGTTATTTTTCATGCCCCTACAAAACCAATATCCAAAGACCCTCAAAAATTGTCCTGGAGTCAAGACAAATCAAGAGTAACTCTATTTTATACATACACTATAACTTTTAAACCTAAGTCTCCCTGCCAATAAAGCAGAAGGAAATAAGGCCTGAGAAACCAAATGGCTACTACTTATAACATTTCTCCTCCACCAAATGACAATTACTTACAATATTTCTCCTCCACCTCATCCTCTGCTGTCTTCAGGATATCCAGAATGTTGATCTTTGGCTTCACCCCAGGCTGTGATTTGACCTCAAGGTTGATCTGCACCATGCCCTCTCCTTGCACACACTGGTCAACAAGGCTTTTCCCACTGTCCAACTAAAATGAATGGATGGAGAAAACAATACCTCTGCTTGAGTCAAATTTATTTAAATTTAGTCTCACTTACTTCAACTCATTCCACTTTCATTTGCTTAAGCTTAAAGACCAATGAGAAAAATCGCTACCCTAGAATTACAAAGTTCTATCTGCACAGTAACTTGTTTTGAGAAATTATACGTTAAACATTTTGAGTTTCACATGTCGAGTATTTTCGAATGCAATTCTTTGAATGTCTTAATAACGACTCCGAATAGTCTTACAATTTTGATAGAGCAGGTAGAAAATTTGGTTTCTGACTTCATTATCATTCTAAAGTAGCTACATGTCATTTTCTGAGAAGAGAAAGCCTAGTCTCAGAGCTGCGGAATGAAATATCAAGCATAAGAAAAGACACGAGGTGACAAACCAAAGTAAAATACAAGTACGCTTAAGAACATTATTACATAAATGTAAATTTACCAGTGCAGTGCCTCTCACTGGCAGCATTTAACAAGCTCACAAAACCCTGTCTTGGGCATGAATGATATTAGGAAAAAAAAAGCCAAGACAAAATTTCAAGATGAAATCTAGAACATACATTCAGTACGTTATTCTCTGTGAGCACTGTATACTCACCTCAATGGAATCCTGCAGATAGAACTGGTGTTCAGCTAAAGAGCACTGCAGCCGAATCTCCAACAGGCGTTTCAATGTGGACAAAGGCTCAGCAATGTCCATATGCTGGATGATGAGGTTCTGGTACTGGGGCGGGGGCTGCTGGGGTTGGATAATCTCCTCCTCATAAACGATTCTGGACAAAGATGCAAACAATACAATTGTTTACAAATATTTCTCAATCTAACATAACAGACGTCATATACAATTATTCGCACTCACACAAAGAGTACAGAAGTCAACCGACTGTCTACACACACAAATAAAACTGAAATCTGAAATTCTGTTAAAAACAAACTATAGTACTTAAAATAAATTTCTCAAGGACTAGTATGTGCTCTTTTAAACAATAAAACACAAAAATAATAATAACATTTAATACCATCAATTATTGAAAACAAGGCTTATTTTTATCTTAATAGTGTACCGTACTACAAAAACAGTGGAACATAGTGCACAATGATTTTTTCTTCCCAAAACAGAAGGGATACAAGAAAGGTAGTAAGGAAATTGAGAATAAATGAAAGGCTTAACTTTCATTGTCTAGCAATACCAGTTAAGCACAACAGGATGTATACCTCATCCCCCTGTACCCTATATGCTATCTAACTAGGGAGGGACATGGTCACATATTTACATAGATGGCAAATCCCTGATAGCTGCCTAAAAGATCTGCTTGCAAGTTCAAAAACAAACCCTGACTTTTATAATAAATCAAAGGACAGTCCTTTAGGGCTGCTTTGAGCTTCTCTTCCTCTTTTTTTCTCAGAAAAGACAGACAAGCCAGGGACTGATACAATCAATGGGAACAAATGAGTTGGATGGGGAGAAAATTGTCAAGGAATCATTCGAGCGTTCAGCCAGAAGAGAAACAAGACTATAAACCAGCACTCTACCTTTCACCGTAAACTTATAAAGCAAAACAATCTCTCTCACCCATCATCCAAACAAACTTCCTCTTCCGTCCTCTGTCGTTTGATGTCCTGCATTGGAATCTCTGTGACTATTTCTGTAATAACCTCGGTCTCTGACGGGTCGACAGCCTCTGCCACCACCTCCATCAAGGCCGGTGATGCTGCTCGTTTCATCCTGCATTAAAAAAAGAAAAAGAAAAGCGCACTTTTATTCCAGGCCTATTACAGCATCAGGCATAAAAAAGCAAATCAAAAGTTAACTGACCCCTCTCCACCTTTGAGGATCTTGATTTTGACGCCGACCTTGCTGCGCACTCCTCCCATTCCAACCAGCACATGCAGGAAAAAACAGACTCCACAAATATGGACGCTCGAATGGATAAAGAATAAGCCAGAAGAAGACAGAAGTGATGACACTGAATGTAGGCTCCCCAATGCTGATTAGGGTGAACAACGCAGACCTGCCTAAAACAGACAAATTTACCTATCTGAGCAGCATAATTAAAACTGACGGCGGCACAAAGGAGGACATCATGAACAGACTCGGCAAGGCAAGATCTGTTCATTAAGCATGATCAACATCTGAAAGTCAGGACAGTTCAGTATGCAGACCAAGTTAAAGTTGTATAACAGCTGTGTACTATCCACACTCCTATATGGAGCTGAATGCTGTAGAATGACTGATCATGACTGTGCCAAGCTATCTTCCCTTCTTTTCATACAACCAGTTTACGCCAAATCCTCCGAATCTTCTGATCCGACAAAATTTCCAAAACAGATCTTTCACGAAAATCAAAATGTAGGCAAAAGGACATGACCGATTTGCATGGCTTATTAAGCCTCTATTTGGTTTTGTACATGACTCTCCTTACTGAGATTACATTTTTCAGTAATACAGATATCACTTCGGTCCCGGCGGTCCTGTCATAACCAAGGACCACTGTATCATCTAGTCTAGTCTCCTTATCTGTCCAGAAACATATACAAATGACCCAATAGCCTGTACCTGTAGACCTAGACTTGTTGAAATATATATCGCCGATGTCGCAAGCAACCCCTATAGGTCCAAATTTTGATCACTTTCTTTTTTAACACCCTCCGAAACCTCTATCAAAGATGAACATTTCAATGTCACTAAAATAAGTTTTAATACTATGTAACTATGGTTATGGCTTACAATTTTCTTGCTTTTCATGATTGCTGTTCAGAACATAACAATGCCAATCGCCCACAGCGGTCTGGGCCAGAAATCGGGCTCCATGTGAGGGGTAATTTTTTAAGCCATTTGGCATCAGCGATAGTGCACAACTATCTTGAACAGAACTCAAGATATTGCAATTGAATGAAGTGATGTAGCCTTGTTTCAGAGGTGAAATTAGCGAGAAAATGACCGCCAAAGTTTGGTAACTTCAATAGCTAAAGAGTCCTTGAAAACAAAAAAATGACATATTTTGTGCCGTTAATCCATTTTTCAGTTAATTTAACAAGGAAATGTGTTTTTGTTGACACAAAAGAGGTTGAGCCCAAAAACAAAAATTCGATAAAAATGGCCAAATTTCCGGAAAAATTCCTGTTTCTCCGAGTTCAGTCTTTTGAAATTGACAGGCGCCTGACTTCACCACACTGCCTCACATGTCACCAATCAGTCCATTGTGGATTTTCCCTTGTAGATTTCCCTTGTACAGCTTTGTTAAATTGTAGAAGGGGTGATTGGAGAATAGCACTGATTCTTTAAAGAGAACAAAGTTTATCGTTTCTGTCAGGTGGACTAAATTCAACTAATTCCTGACCAGTGAAATTAAAATTAGACCAAAGTCTTTGATGTGTTGAAAACTTAGATCTGCGTTGCAATGCCTCGCAAGTCTGTGTCCCACTATCGGTAACACCTCAAGCGATGTCGCACAATTCAACAAATTTTCAAGCAATATAATCTCGTAAAGACGCAAAGTGATAAAACAGATTCTGCACAAAAAAATCATGATGCAAAGTTCATTACTGACTTAAAATTTTACAGTTTCCCCTACAAAATAACCATCCTTCCCAGAACCTCCTTTTTGACTACATGCCCGGTTACCGTGTATGTAGACACCGAGGCTAGGTGTGCCCGGTACATGCCGTTAAACGTAGAAGACGCATCTTTCTGATTGGCTGCTAATTTTAGTACTGTGATGTCATCACTTCCCGGGATACCCACATGGAATGACGTGTTTTCGGTAACATTTCAGATTTCCTAGATCTAGATTCTAGAGATCTAGATCTAGTAGGCCTACTTGGACATGATGGAAGATCGCTTCTAAATCTAGATCATTGATGCTTAGAACTGTACAATTAAGAATGCTGATGCTTGAAATTGAAACACGGTAAACACAAAGACAATAAACTGCACGAAAATTGCCGTAAAGACGCTGGAGGATTAGATCTACATCCACCCCACCCCCCCCCTCTCCTGCATTCTTCATCACAAATATATATACATTAAAATAGGTACCGCAAACTGGCCGTGCGACCCCGTGGCGCACTGTCACGGAGACCAAAACCCATATTTTTACCCTCCTAAAACACTGTGTGATGATGCATACACAGACACTTGATATATTAGAAGAAAGAGGAGCTTTTCCTCTTTTTAGTGGTATTATTTATTTGAATCAACGATTCTTTTAAAAGCAAAATCTTGCGGGATAAAAGACAATACTATCGAGGTTTTCACCGCAGCGGCCGCGCGTTTCGTGTATTGATTTTTAGAGTGACCTCGGTTGAACAGGAACGGGGAGCGTATGGTATTAAACTGCAATCTGATTCGTCGATATATCTCAAGATGAGAAGACGCTCTTTCCGGTGATGTATTTCTAAAGACTGTCCTTAAAGAATTAATAGAAGAGATTTGCGTGTGAAAACTTTCGGTGCTGTTTTTATATGGAACCAGTGATCGGACTGGCTACGGAAATATATCGGCAGAAAGCCCATTCATTCCTCTTCAAGAATAATACAGCCATTATACGCAAATAAACACCGGACGCTCCCTGTCGGCTCGCAAGCAGGGCACCAACGCCCCGGTTTCGTATAAACTCTCTCTTCTTCCTTTCAGCGCGGCCCGGCGCGCAGCCGATAAGCCGGCGGTCGCGAGTGGTGATTTTAACCTCCCCTTGTATTTCTTGCCGTTTTGGTCAAAAAGCCATGTTTACATCAATAAATTTCCATCTTCTGGTTATGTGATAGCCCTGAAAAAAATTGAGCTTGTTCTTTATGTGCATAGGTGTGTGTCTACAAGTTTTTGTGAATGTCCATTCAAATTTAAGAATGTTGTGACATCTCAAAACGTAGACATTTCGCAATTAAAAAACTGTTAACATTTTTCTGCAACTTCAGATGTTCATAACTTTGTTAAAAATGAAGCTATATTACATACACAGACCTGTCACTCTATGAAACCTTAAAATCAGGATCTCGGGGAGAAAAAATCGGGATTTGGTGAAAAAAATCGGGATCAACAGCAAATCACCAAGGTGACTGCGAAAGCTACTTAATATTTTTCCACGGGTGTCCATAAATTACTTGGCATATATGCACTCTGAGTGTCTTTGTTTGTTTGTGTGTGTGTGTGTGTGTGTGTGTGTGTGTGTGCGCGCGTGTGAGTTATTAATTTTTGTAAATCCTGAAGCATCCCTTCAAGCACTCCTAGTCCAAGTGCCTATACCCCCCCCCCCTTCCACCCCACCAATAAGTCCCGAAATACATGAACTTAAGTTGACCCCATCAACGGACGGTCCCCGACACGCAGAACTCACACGGCGATGTCATGTCACGTGACACGAATGCGCGATTGAAACAATTTTACTAATGGGTCCGACTAACTGCACGTTCACACAAAACACTCGGATGATCGACAGTCGTTCTACTTCTAGTACTCTTGGATAACGACGGAGGCCGGCCGACCAATTGTACCAACAAATCTCTTATCCCTCATAATGCGTTCAGACTAAAGCAACGACAACGGCCGTATGTTAGTCTTGTCAGCGCAGTTACATGTAGTTGTGTAAGGGTCGCTCGTCCGTGTGTTTGATGTGACCGCGCAGTTACCAGACCCCGGACAAGGCTTGTTTTGAAAGTAACAGCGAAACTACGAATATTATTGATTATTTATATGTCCCAAATTGTAACAGTTACCAGGCTATCATCGGAGAATTCTGAGTGTGGGCAAAGATCACACACAACTTGGGGCGAGCCAACTACTAAATGCGGCATCAGTATTTCGGGATATAGTGCTCCGAGTTTCTACTGACAAAAAGGTCAACGGGTGCTTCCCGCGATAAAGGAGAAGTAAGTTTTTAGAAAAATACGGCAGAACAGCAGACTGGGACAAAAAATCGGAATACACATGCGATCGAAATCGGGAAAATCGGGATGCTTGAGACTTGGGGCAAAAAATCGGGATATCCCGACTAAATCGGGATGAGTGGCAGGTCTGCATACATTTGGTATCAAAATGCTCAGAATGATAAATTCTACAAGGTATTGCAGTTAAATAAGAAATCAGAGGGCTTTGAAATTTGAGTTTGTGGTACCTACATTAAAAAACAAACTTCAAAGCAGCTCTACAAATTATAATTTATGGGACTGTTGGTCAGTCGGGAGGAGGAGAAGAGAAGAAAAAAACTGTCCGGGAACGGAACCGAACCGCTCCAAAAATCATTGCATGACTTCAAACGCAGACGCGCTGTCTCTTCGGCCATCAGAACTTCCAAGAGCGAGGTGTAGATTAAGCATAATATAGACACTTCCATCTTTAGTCTTTAGTGCCAAGCGGTTGGCTATACTCAGATGTAGTCACGTGATCGGAGGGGTATCCTGGTCTGACGTCAAACAAGATGGGCGCCTAACCTAAAAATAGTTTGTGTCTTTCTACGTTTAATCGTATGTGTGCCCGGTTACTGTGTACGTAGACACTTCGTAATCGATTTGTGACAGTTTTAGTTTTAGTGGCTTCATGTGTGATCTGCAGCAAACAGTACTGGGTGATCTTGTAGTTCCGTTCGTTAAAGTCCACGATCCATTTGTTTACATCCAGAGAAGAAATCCAGAAGTCTTGATGACCAAAAATACTATTTGAATTAGGCTACACGAAGAGCGGGGATGCAACCTAACTGCAAAACATCAAATTAGGATAAAATTCAGGGGGGCATGCCCCTCTGAACCCCCCCCCCCCCACCTCAGTATTTTTATTAGAGCCCCCCTGAAACCCCCCTACTCTTGACTTTAACTAACGAAAAGTAACTACAAAATCACCCCGTACTGCAGTTTGACACCCGAAGCAGTGCATCTCTGTGTGCGGGAGTGAAAGTAAAAATTTACCCTTGTCCACTAATCTTCATGTACCTGGCGTGGACTCCTCAGACTTTCAGAGTCTAGATCTAGATTAGGTTAGGTCTCTAGAGTCTAGAGTCAGCAATTCTGGTTCTTCCCATTTGACCATTACTTGTATTGTAGAGTCTAGAGAGGTCTGGACCTCGACAAAGTCGAATATGGCGTGTAGATCTAATCTAGATTCTAGATCTTAGAATCAAACACATGGTTGACAAAACGTTAGAAGCGTGTCTCTTTTTGTCACGATGGTAAATCGACATAAATCGATCTATCACAGAGATACCGAAAGTAATCAAAAAGAAAACTGTTGCAAGCAGCGTTCAAAGACGTTTCTTGTGAACAGCTCGAAACGACCATGACCGACATTGTGGTTTCAAAAGTAGGCCACCGTCAATACAATATGGCGGATGATCTATGGTATGGAAGAGGCTCCATGTGCATACAGAGTGAATTTTTGGGGAACTAATGTTTCTTATAATTGTCTGGAACTGTTTAAGAATAATAAATGAGGATGAAAAGGAAGAGGAAATGGTTAAACCAAACGGATGTTTATGAAGAATACTTCCGGCCTTGCCTCCCCACGTTCAACATCCTGTTTGGAGACGAAGAGATAAAACAGTTCTTACACTTTTATTCCTCAACAATAAGCGACCATACTGACTCGTGTATCAATACTTTCCCTCCTCTTAACTGTACAATACATGAAACAATATATACTCACCTGTCTGTAAAAATTCAACTTAATTTCAAAGTGTAAACAGCGGTTATTTTTACCGGAAATCTAAGGCAACGGAAATGGCACCAAGCTCAAAATTTTTGGTCGTTGGTCACGTGATATAGTAGGCTGCGCATTGAATTCTCTGCGCCTATGAGGTTGTGATAAGGCTTAGTGATACTATATTTAGAATGTGAGGATTTCCATCCAGCCGTGACGGCATTTTGTCGATATTTTCCTTTCTTTTCTTCTAGCCTACTTCTATCCTTCCTTGTTCGTTCAGACGAAAGCATTTCCATTCATCATGAATAAAACACAACACGGAATGAATTGACATTTTCGGAACTCTGAATAGCCTAGTGCATTTAAAACTTTTTCCAACTTTTAAACCAGGTCGTAGATCTAGGCCTAGAATCTAGATTTAGTCTAGATATCTAGATCTAGATCTAGATAATCTAGGTAGAAATGGTAGAATCTTGATGCCAAAAAATATAGATCTACGTCCTTTGTATCCGTAGGCAGAATACTGTGAATGTGAATACTTGCGCCTTGATGAATTTTGCAGTTCAGCCTCTCCTTTTGCCAAATATTATCATTATACTTCCAAGCTCAACCCATTATTATGACTTTAATTACTTAACTACCAGCGTTCACTGCGCGATAAACTATGTGGTCGTGGGGGCTTCCAAACTCTTTTTTATCTTAGTTCTTTTCCCAACTGTGGGTCAAAATTTTTGTAGGGGAATTTTATTACCGTTATCTTTAAAAAAGTGTGTGTGCGTGTGTGTGTGTGTGTGTGTGTGTGTGTGT